TCAGATGGAAGCTCAAGACTTGAAAATGTTTCTTTTATTAGAAATAAAGACCTGTACAAAAAAAACCAATTATACACTAATTATATATGCAAACTTAACAAGCTACGTTTGGCTATTTGTGGGCTTACCTTGCAGGATCTACATTTCTATAGATCAACTATGATCTACTCTAAATATTTTTAAACATGTCTGTTTGCCATGGAACGGGCAATGGATTCCAGCACCCCAAGGAGTGCCTGACTGAAAGCAGCACTCTGTTCAGCCTCCTGCCTTCGCTGTGCTGCTTCCTCTCTGCGAACATCTGCTTCCTCTCTCCTCAAGGCCATCTCCTCCCTCCTAATTGCCTTCTCCTGCTTCCTCGCTGCTGCAGCTTCTTCTTGCCTTGCTTTTTTGGCATCCTCACAAATAAAATGGAAGTGTTTCTCTCTCTGCTTCCGGTTCATCTCCTCTTGTTCTGTATGTGCAGAAACAAAGCTCTCTGCTGCACTTGTTGATCTGCGCTTCCTATTGCCTAGGAATAACACACAAGAAAATGGCTGTTAGATGATGAAGTACAGGTAGAGTTTTTAAATAAATTATTTACATTAAAGTTCCTGCTAATTTCAAAAGGTGTTTGTTTACAAGATCAGAAATGATTCTGTTCATAAAGCAGTCTAGTACTTTAATGATAGTAAGCAGGTGGGCATAAATAAACTACATGTAGTCATTTACAACGGTTTGTGCTAATTTAGAAAAAGAACAGAGCATCGTTAATCTGAACAAAAATCACTACACCCTGTATAATTTCAATAATAAACTTCATAAATGAAAGTTTAAGTAATAAATGAATAACTAAATTTAGCATTTATCCATTACAACTGAATAAACAAGTAGTTTGAATACATGCAAGGTGTTTTACAACAAAAACAAAACAACATTCATATCAACATGATCAATGTGATGTTAAACACGATTGTTGCTTCTTACCTACTAACCGGTGCTGTTTGATGCCGCTCTGCTGCGTGTTGCCCGGTGGTGTGGATGTGCCCGGTGGCATGGATGTACTCTGTGGTGTAGATGTACTTGGAGCTGGTGTGGTCGGGAAGGGTCAGAAGCGGGGAGGATTGGACAGTCAAAAGCAGAATCTGGCGAACCTTCATGTTCAGTGGGACTTTCTGCATCAAAATAAGAGTGGAAAAACAGCAACAGAGTACAGTTAGCAATGATGCTAACTAATGACGACGTAACCGCGTCTGCCTCGTTTGTTCAGAGTACTTTCAGAAAACGCAAAGAAACGGTTGCATGAGGAAAAGGAAATATGCTTAAAGTAAATAAAATACACTCACCATCAACTATTAGTTTTTTAAGCTTTCCTCTTTGCTTTGGTGTGCGATGGAAGCCCTGCACCTCCATCTGCGCAGACACCTCTTGAAAAATCTTTTTATTTCGTTTCGTTCCATCTAGCTCGCGCTGCACTTGTTCATCGGCCAGCAAACAGAGAAATGCCTGAACTTCAGCATTCGACCACGGTTGTGCCATGATTATTTGTTTTACCTTATAAAATATTCCAAAATAAGCTCCTCCGATTTCTTGTTGTCTGTTATGCGGGTGAAAAAGAAAATGGTGGATTGTGATTTCCGGTGGAAGACTGAATCTCCGCCCTCCACCAATGAATACGCCCCCTGACCAATCAGTGACCTACAGTGCGCTGATGTCACAACTAGACCCTAAAAGAACCAGACCTGGGACCTCAGTGATTTAGGTCCCAAAAATGGGGTGGGTTCCACCGTTAAAGGCATTGTTGATAAATCCTGCAATCGGCCACAACTAGTTACATAGGAGTACCAAAAAGACCCGTGGATAAGGGGCTTTTGTGTCTCCCCAGTGGCTGATATGGAAGGAAAAAACATGCACTTGTGTTATATTCTCAAGTATTGTAATTAAAATTAAAATAAACTATGTAGCTTCCTGTCTGATTCAGAAAGTCTTGTTTAAGATGTTCATTTCTCATTTGAAAGTACCCCTAAAAAAGGAAATGAAACGTCTACTTTTAAACACCTTTTATTTTATCAGAAGACACGTGAAGCTCACACTGTCTGTTTTTGCACCATTGATCTGACAGATGTTTTCATTTTACTGCAAGGTTTGGTGTTAATTGTTTTCTCTGTGTGTTAAAGGCTGCTCAGTTTGTTCAGCGTGCACAATATTCACACAGTTAATGACATTAAATTGTGTCTACACATTATATATGATGTGAACCCATTAGGGGAAGATTTGTGAAGATGAAACACTAAAATAAAATGTGCAGAGAATCGACAATTTGAACAAGAAACATATTTTTATACTAATCTTTGCAACAAGTTTTGTTTAAAATGAAAAAAAGAACTAAGATCATCTTTCAGAAATCTCCAAAGCTGTTTTGTTTTTAAGTTTAAACATGAAAATGTGAGTGTAAATGTGTACCAATACATTGTAAATGTCAGACTTCTCCATATCAAATGGTTCTTCCATCGCCGTCACCTTTGTTAACCTTTTCTGTCACTTTTTCCTTTTAATAAACACATGCACACACGGTCACAAATTTTGCCTCCAATTTTTTTATTTAAGCACACGTTTACCATCAATATGAGAACTATCGTATACGAAATGTTTTCTGCTTCATTACATTTTTATAGACAGCTCTTTATGACAATGTAATGAGAGCCTTGAACCTATTTTTGTCACATTTTGTGACCATATTGAATTGAATGAGTCTATTTTTACTGTAAAGTTTTCCCCAATCTGTGTGTAAAAGAACAAACAGGTGTTTTTTTTTTTTTTTCATGTTTCAACATTAAAGAGCCATCTACAAGAACTAACATATTCCTTGTTCATACTGTTTCCACAGAAACACACTAAAATTAATGAGCTATCATTTTAACTACATGAAATTAATGGTAAAGTTAAGAAAACTGACAAGTATAAACGTTAAAAATGGAGTGTATATTCATTATTTTCACGTTTTGTCCATTTTTACATCTACAAGCAAAAAATAAAAGATCAGCTAAGATTTAAGAGGCAGTACAGAGGAAAGTTACTGGTTTAAAACCTTGTCACAGTTTAATTAAATAAATGACATGGAGATGGCCCCAGTGGAGGCGGCTTAGGTTAAGCTGTGAGGAGCAACATGGTTTTAGATTTGAGGATGTGTAACTCAAAGATGAGGAAAATCTGATACAGCTTGGCTGCATTTACTGGTGCTGTACAGCACTTTCAAGAAGGCTGAAAAGATAATGTAGTTCATCCATCCATCCTTCCATCCATCAATCCAGGCATGCATGCATCCATCCATCCATCCTTCCATCCATCAATCCAGGCATGCATGCATCCATCCATCCATCCATTAATCCATCAATCCATCAATCCACCTATCCATCAATCAGTCCATCCATCCATCCATCAATCCATGCATGCATGCATGCATCCATCCATCCTTCCATCCATCCACTAATCCATTAATCCATCAATCCACCTATCCATCAATCAGTTCATCCATCCATTCATCCACCAATCCATCCATCCATCCATTCATCCACCCATCCATCCATCCATCAATCCATCCATCCATCTATTCATCCATCTGTCCATCTATCCATTCATGCATGCATCCATCCATACACAAATACATACATACATACATACATCAATCCATCCTTCCATGGATCCATGCATTCATCCATCCGTGCACGCATGCATCCATCCATCAGTCCATTTACCCATGCAGCAATCAGTCATCCAGCCATCCATCCATCAATCAATCAATCCATCCATCCATCCATTTACCCATGCAGCAATCTGTCATCCAGCCATCCATCCATCAGTCCATTTACCCATTCAGCAATCAGTAAACCATCCATCCATCCATCCATCCATCAATCAATCAATCCATCCATCCATTCATTTACCCATGCAGCAATCCAGCATCCAGCCATCCATCCATCAATCAATCAATCCATCCATCCATCCATTTACCCATGCAGCAATCCATCATCCATCCATCCATCCATCCATCATTCAATCAATCCATCCATCCATCCATCCATCTTCTGGGAGGACTCCAAGGCATCCTCAGGACAGCCGAGACAGTCTCTCCAACACATCCTTGGTCTTCCCCATGGTCTCCTCCCACTTGTACATGCCCAGAACACCTGCCTAAGGACAGGGAGCATTATTGCAGTCATGTCAGTAACTACCATCCTGCAGAAATACGCAGATCACTGCATGCGTCGATAATTGAAATGCAGAAAATACCAAGCGAAAGAGACACATGGGTGTCAAAACCAACTACGCCTTTGTTAAAGTCTGCTCGTCTTGTTGGTGTCTGTCACCTGTTTTTCTTTTTCTTTCACAAGCTGCTCCCAGTTTTTCTGTTTCATGTTAACACCATGAAAGTATGATTTTTGAGCTTTTGTTTGTTGCAGAGTCTCTGAAACGTTCGTCCCTCACATCCTGTGTGAGAAGTTCCTCATCTGTCCTTACAGAGTTACGACTGTTGCAACTTAAGTCTTATTTCAACATCCTATATTAGGTGATGTCACGATGTTAAACATACATGTAGAGAAAGTACAGCCAGAAGTTGAAGTGACAGTTTCTTAGTGGTTATATTTATTTTTAATGTGGTATACATTAATATTTCAATTAAATATAAAAAGCATGTATTTACACACACACACACTCTCTGACTTGATTATTACTTCATCTTTTTCCAGCTGCACACATGCTTTTTTTTCCCCCTGTTCCTCTGTTCTTTAAATCATTTTTAAAATTGCAGCTGCCTAAAACAAAATCGTTAGTGAATAAGTGCTTAATTTTGAGTTACTAACCTCAAAGTCATGTGCAATCTCAAGCGTTTTTTTCTTTGACCAGGAAAATATCTGTTCTCTAAATGCTTTCTTTGTTCTGTCTGTATAGAAAACAGGAAGCTTGCGCAACCATTTCTAGGTTCTGGATGAGCAGAAAAAGTCAGAATTCGGGACTAATGAATGACGGTGAGTGTTTGTTTTATTGTTTTTTTTTATTTCTTATATAAATATATTTGCTTTAAAAAGAAAAGAAAAGTAGCAAAATTACTGTGAAATTTAGTTCTGCATGTAAAATGTCCATGTGTTTATTTTCTGTACTTTCTAAGTTTAATTGTTGCTTCAACTCAGACAAACACAAGCCCAATATTTTATACAACGGACCTGAATTAACTTTAATTAGTTTAAAGATTTGAACATTGTCCTCCTGTAATAAATATGTGACGAATTACATGAAATCAGAGATGAAGTCAGATTTGATTGAAAATGACTAAGTCCATTTTCAGATTCTAGGCACTTTGTTATATTTTAATGCCTAGATCACCATAAAATGGTTTGATTTGTCTTGCTAATGGACAAAACCCCTGGAAAATCTGTCTGAATCCCATTTTTAGGTATTTTAAAGATAATTTATTGATGTTATTTGAATAAGGACGGTTTAATCTGTATTTTGATATCAGGATTTCCCAGTTTTGCTACACGCAGAGAAAGTAGAGAAAATGTTTTGGGGTTTTTTCTGCTCAAAATCTTTGTTAGTTGTTGGTACTGCTCAGAAAAAGTGCTTTAAAACACTCTTTAGGAACACATTAATTCACGAGAACCATAGATAAGGTATTTTTCCATCATATTTTGACACAATCCAATTCTAGCAAAATATTACATCATTATGTAGCTGCTGAAATCTACATACCACTATGTGGCTTAATCATCGGGTTGATGTCATGGGTCATAGGTGAAATTAAAAAAAATTGCCGTAAAACAAAGTGATTTATTCCTGAATGCAAATATTTACATTTTGTTGTTCGTGTTTGCTTTATTTCTGTAACAGTTTGAGCAAAAAATGGTGGAGTGAGCTCAAAAACATGCAAGGGATTCAAAACATTTTAGAATCAGAATCAGCTTTAATGTCATTGCACCGAAGCACAGCGAAATTACATTTCAGTACAGCCCATCCACGTAAAACAGAAACAAACAGACATGGGGGGACGGAGGTGTCTGAGGCCACGACCCCGTGGGAGGCGCTGCCTTTTTCATTTAGATAAGAAAAGAGAAACACGGGGGAAGGGGAGATATAAAAAAATTATATCTCACACTGTCTCTTAGATGGGACACAGTATGAAAGTTGCAAAAAAAAAAAAAGCATCACAGAAACAGCAACATATTGATGACATCATGATACATATCTGCATGAGGAAGGCAGACGAATGAATGAATCAAATTAATAGATTAATGAATGAAAACAATGAAAATGTACAATGAATACATGCCACATAGGTGTTTTATTCTTGTTTTTTTCCCCAACAACAGGGATTTTCATACACTAAAAAGATGGCCTTTTATTCTCCAAAGAGGTGCATTCTCCTTGCCTTTCTCTGTGCTGGTGTGACATGTTTTCTTCATGGATGGTCCAAATCAGTCCAGTTCTTCACCTTCAATCCCAGCAGGGGAAATGTGACTGTCCTGCTGTGGCACTGGCCTTTTGGTCGCTCATCGAGTCTGAAGGGTGATGTGTGCTGGGATCTCTACCAAATTCCTCGCTGTAAATTGGTGGATGAGCGCTCCCATTTCCCCTCGGCTCATGTCGTGGTGTTCCACAACAAAGAACTGGTACAGGGAAGGCAGAAGCTGCCCACTGATCTTCCAAGGCCACCATCCCAGAGGTGGGCATGGATGTCTCTGGAGTCCCCTCCTCATAATGGAAACCTGCAGAAGTTTGCCAATATCTTCAACATGACTGTGTCCTACAGGAGGGATGCTGATGTCACTGTACCGTACGGTGAGCTGCTACCTGTGGATCCTGAAGGACACCCGGTGGAAGGTAGTTTTGTGGACAAGAGCTCTTTGGTCTGTTGGATAGTCAGCAGCTACATGAGCCGCCACAAAAGAAGCCAAGTGTACAACAAGCTCAAAACCATAGTTCCTGTCAAGGTTTACGGTCGCTGGAACAAGACGCCTCTCTCCTCCAAAGACCTCCTACCTACAATCTCACGCTGCTACTTTTATTTAGCTTTTGAGAACTCTGTATCCAAAGATTATATCACTGAGAAGCTGTGGAGAAATGCTTACCAAGGTGGGGCTGTGCCCGTCGTACTGGGACCGCCGATCAGGGACTACAAAGCCGTTGCTCCAAATCATTCCTTCATCCACGTTGATGAGTTTGCATCAGTGAAAGAACTGGGAACTCACCTCCAACAGCTAGCAAAGGACAAGAAGCAGTACGCTGAATACTTTGACTGGAAATATCACTGGAAGGTGAAAGTTTACACTGACTGGAGGGAAAGACTATGTAAGATCTGCCTAATATATGACAGCTTACCTCAGCATAAAGTTTACTCAGACCTACAAGGTTGGGTTGCAGCACTTTAACACTTAACCACTGGAAACTGTGGTTGGTGACTCAGGAGGACTTGACTTTCAAAAACATGTCTAGTACGGTGATTTTAGTGTTGGATAAAAAATATCCTCTATTCATCCCACTTACTCAAAGAAACCACGAAGATTTTTTTACCGGTTTTACTTGCAAGGCCAGACTTTCACTAAGTGCTGTTTAGTCTAAAAAAAAAATAGTACCGTACTTGCCGCCGTTTAAGTCGCATCAGTCCAAATATGTCTAGTAAAGTGGAAAAGAAAAACATAAATGTCGCTTTGCCATAAGTCGCATCTATTATGTGTCACCACTGACCACCCAGAAACGTGGGCCGGTGTTGTGCCAAAAATTGATTGGCTGCCAAATGGCGGCCGCGGGAGCATGCACGGGAGGACATTAACAAGAATTTAACAAGATTAACACTTAAAAATAATTGTGTTTAATTATATTAATTAATGTTTAATTATATTTAATTATAGCAAAGCTGTGTCTCAGTTGAACTTTTCCTTAATAAATGCACTTTGATGGTCAAATCAGCTGCATTTCGCCTGGGCAGCGCGGTGAAATGCAGCTGATTTGATCTTTGCTCCAGGAGTGCCGGAGCAAGACGAAGGTGGCTTAGTATGGCAAGCCAAGTGTCTCATTAATAGCCATGTTTATCTATTAATGAGACAATTGGCTTGCCATATTGGTCGAGGGCAAATGGTATTGTTCAATATTATCCATGTCAGAATGAATGAAATTGTGAGATCTCAGCCAAAAATTGGATTATAAATATGGAGAAAAAATGTATTTTAGTCGCTTCGGTGTATAAGTCACAGGACTTGCAAATTTATGCAAAAAGGTGCGACTTATATGGCAAAAAATATGGTACTAGTTTGTCCTTCAACAGCCACAACATTAATCTAAGAGCACAGAATGTGAAGAAAGGAGCAAGTCTTCATTCAGGCTTGTTGGTTGGTTCTACTGATAAGAATTATTTAACCAAACATCACTTCAAAAATGACTATCCATTTCAATTTGCACTTACGGTAATTGATGTGGTAAATTTTGAATCATAATCATGTGTCCATTATTTTCACCTGCTTCTTCCTTTTTGGGTCGCAGGAGTCACTGGTGCCCATATCCAGCTGTAAAAAGCAGGGGACACCCTGGACGTGTCCAAGTCCATAACAGGGACAACAACCATACTCTCTCATTCACACCTAGGGACAATTTAGAGTTACCAATCAGCCTAAAATGCATGTTTTGGTCTGTGGGAGGAAACGAGTACACGGAGAAACCACACTTATACACGGAGAGAACATGCAAACTCCACCCAGAATGGCCCCCGGCTGCGATTCAATCCGGCGACCTTCTCGTTGAGAGGCGGCAGCTCTAACTGCACCTCGGTGCATCATAATCATATTAATATAATCAATGAGGAAAAACTGAATGTATTGTTACCACTGAAATTAAAATGGGTGTTAACTAAAATATTTAATTTAAACTTTGTGTGTGTTTTACAAAAGGTGATATCTCTAGCACTTTACTTCAATGTTTTAATGTCTAGGAGTACATAAGAGCATGTTACTACTTTTGAAAACAGTACTTTTGTTGTTAAAAGTCTGATGTAACATTGATACCTCTTTTCTGCCCAAGCCTATGCTGAATAAGCACAAGGTGATACAGACACATGAAATGCAGGGGTTGTTATTGTGCAGGACGATTCTGTAACTGGAAATAACTGTGTATCAGATAATTGTTAATCTAATATAACAAAAGCAAACTCAATGTGAAGTGTTTATTTGGGGATATCTAATGGCCAAAGCATCAGTTGGGGAGTTTGTTAATGAAAAAATGGGATTCTTTCAGACTTGTGTTAAATTTATTTATTTTTTTGTTACAAGAATAACTGTCAGCTACTACCACGGCTAATTCTAGCTCATTATCTGTGAAACTGACACAATTATAGCCATTTAAGTGTTAGCTAAGGTCGGTAATCTGTGGCAGTCCTCTTGAATTGGGCTAACTCTGAAAGATAAGTAGTTGTACATTCAAGGATTGGTTTCTGAACATTTCATTAAAAACTGTCCAGAGGTTTGTAAGATATTTTGCTAACAGACAGGGTTGACCCCATGAGTTAAAGGGAAAGTTTTATTTAAAGATTATCTTTTAGTGTTAAGCATATGTTTTGGGAGTAATGCTCACTGCACAAAGCCATGCTTGTGTTAGCTAAGGTTTATTAGCTGCAGCAGTGTGAACGTGCTGCAGTTGACATTTCACTTACAAAATTTTGAGTTTTAGTGTTTTTAGTCAAAGCATTTCATGGTTGTCATAAGCTGCACTTAAACTCCCTTCTCATATGCATATTTACCATTTTAATTACTTCGGTTTGCTCCACTTCTACAAATTTTAACATCGTTTACTACTAACATTTGTTTTCTTCTATCAGGATGTTAATGATGGGAACTGTAACTGGCAGAAATGCTAAAAAAAAAAAGTCTGTATTTAATTAAATCTAAAATGTTTTTTACATGCGTTTTTCTAGTTTCGCACTACTTTTCTCAGTGCGTGCAACATGTGGTGCATTACACATCTGTAAAGATGAGTCACGCCGAATGATCTGCGAGGGCAGCTGCTGCGGTCCTCATTTCCATGAAGATGCTGACCGGACCTGCTAAGTCAGGGGTTCCCAAACTTTTCCATGCCATGGGCCCCCCAAACAGCATTAGCTTCTGGGCGGGCCCCCCCCCCCCCCCCCCCCTCGCAAACGCACAAACAGTGCTACAAAATATGTAAAGAAACAACTTTTAGACTGTTTTAACTTTTATTCACTATATTCATTTAATTATTACAGCTGGTGAGCATAAAAAATATTAATGAATTATATTCCCACAGCATTTTTTTTTCAACAAACTGTTGGCCAGAAGAACAAAACAAAAGAAATTATCTTCTTTCTCAAGCATGTTTATGTGGAAATGGCAGAACAGATTTGCCCTAGTGTGCAATTATTACTATTTTTTTTATTTTTGCTTAAAAAAATAATAATCTTATTCTCTCCCGCTTTCTGAGACCCCCTAGTAGACCCCCAGGGGGCCACGGCCCTCACTTTGAAAAACACTTCGCTAAGCTTCTAACAAGACCACCAGAACAGAACCATGCTGCTAACCGAACCGTACTGTAGGTGCATTTCTTTTCTCAACTTTGGCACATTTTAGTATTTTAATAGTATTTGTGTTTTTTTATATTTTTAGTAGGATTTTGTTTTTAGTATTTTTGCTGCATGCTTTTATTTTTTTGGGGTGATTCAAAAACGTTCTTCTCGTCCTTCATTACCTTGACCTTGTGTTGATTTTTGCATATGACAAATAAACCTAACTTAACTGTTGAGGCTTTTAAACATCGTTGCCATTTAGATAATTTCTTTTCCAAGCATCGCTTCAATGTGTCAGTTTTTGATAAAGCAGTTTTTTTGTTGTGTGGTGAAAGCATCCTCCTGGGGAGCACAAGATGTTACCTGGCTGGAGAGGATTTCCCCTCAATGTTCTGGGTGTGCCCTGGGGTGTTCTCCCAGTGGGATTTGCCCAGGAAACCACCAAAGGGATGTATCCTAATCTAAACTTCCAGTCATACAGAAACTGCTTGTGCTCCAACATGCATGATAGACTATGGACCCTCACCTACAGTAAGAGCTTTGATTCATGGCAAAGGTTGTAAATATTTATTTACACCACATGCATCTTTAAAAAAAAAAAAAAAAGTAAAACTTCAACAAAATGTGGTAAAAGTGAAACCTGAACTTTCCAGACACCGTGGTACATCTCACTCATCATTCCCCATTTTACCTATTTTGTAGAAGTTTGGGGGAACGCCTGTAAATCGTATACAAATTCTATTTTTATTCTGCAAAAAAGAGCTGTTAGGATTATAAGTGGAAAACCAACAAATCCATTGTTCTGTAACTTAAAATTAATGAAAATTCACGACTTGGTGGACTATTATACTTTGCAAGTTGTGTTTAAAATACGTAAGTGTGTCTGCAAAAAAAGATGTATTAAAAGAGACTGCATTTATAATTTGAAAGGATCAGAGATGTTTAAAAAAACCAAAGTCATAACTCAACAAATGGATTGTTGCATTTCTGTTTATGGACCAGATCTAAAGAAACCAAAGAAAGTAGCTCCATTTTACTTTTAAGAAAAAATATAAATTTATTTCAAGGTATAATGAAGTATATTGATTCAGAGTTCTGTATCACAAATGTTTTTCTTCATATATACACTTTGCTTGTTGTGTTCAAAGATGTAGAGGGTTGATTGAAACTTGGTTGCTTGTGGTGTATTACATTGACTTTTGATAAAAGGGGTGTAGACTATGTAAGATTTTCTCCAAACTACTCCTTTTCATTCAGAACTTTTATGTCAATATGTGACATTTTAAACTGTAAATTAAATAAAAAATTTAAAAAATGCGTAAAGATTTTATTGTTTCACATCTTTGTCACGAGTCCTCATAAAACTAACCTTTACCCCAGAGTTCCCTTTTCTCTATACATCGTGCTCCACGATTGGTTTCATGGCTGAAAAGCGACAAAACATCATAACACACAGCTCAACTTTTCTTTTTAAGTGATTTCCCCTCCATAAACAGCTTTATGAAGAAGTCCAAAAGCTCTGGATCAATGTGTTGAGCATTAAGCAGCTGAGAAACAGCACAAAGAGCCACTTAAATGATCTGAAGCTTCAAAAATAAAAACCCAACAGAATATTTTATTCAACAACTCAGGGTCACACAAAGACGAGCTTTCAGAGAAGCTGCAACTGTTACGTCATCACAGGTGACGGTTGAAGTTAAAAAAAACATGGCGTGAATATGTTTTGATCAAAGATATTTACAGCCCGAGTGTAAAAAGCAAAAGATATATACAAAAGATTACCCTTAATAACACTGACTTGTTGCATCACAGCAAGCACAAACACAATCAGTCAATGCCCATTCTTTGTTAGTCAACAGTAAATACAATTTTAAACCATGGCAGTCATTTTTATGTGGAATATTGAATATCCAAAATGCAAAAAGGGATTGTCTTTCAGTAAAGATACAGTACTTTCTCTAATTTGTCATGTTGAGTTTTCAAGTTATTGTGAAATTTGACAATTTTCATAAAAATAAAATGCATAAAACCATCTAAACTCCTTTTGGTCTGTACTGGGTTTCATCTGCAAACAAAAACAGGAGCGCATTGTGGTCTGGAGATTTCTAGCGAGTTTAAAACAAATTACGTGCACAAACAATAAAAGCTTTGAATGCGATACAAAGAATGATGGTGCTTTTAGAAAATGAACAGTAACATATCAATATATTATAAACTCTTGACAAAAAGGGATTGCACCGACGGCAAATATTCACGTCAGCAACAAACGGGAGGATAAATCACCTTTAGGAGATAGTTCAAAGCTTTTTAAAGGGAATTTGAGGTAGTTAATATCTTACCTGTTGCAGATAACTCTTTGAACGTTCTCATTTGCAGAAAGATTCATTCTGACCAGTCAATTACAGTTTGACAATATACTGGAAATTGTTTTAAGATGGCACCAATCAAGTTTGGACCCATTTGGGTTTTCAGTTAGCTCATCAGTCCATTTGGAATTAGCCATCTACAACAGGTAAAAGATTATTTATTTCACAGAACCTAAACTCAGAACATGTAAACGAGTTCCTTTTTGATGGTTATTTAAAAACTGCATGTGCAGGTACGAAAAATGAACTATTAAAATTGTAATGTTCTGGTGCAAACATCATGCAATCCAGTTTATTGCTTTTTCCTGGTCAGTAGTACAAAACATTCAAACCCTGAGGTTCACCACGACAGTTTACTTTAGATACCAGTAGACGTCGTGCAAATGTAACGGAGTAAAAGCACACTTGCAGCATCCCTCCTTAAATCTAGGCCAGGGGTCTGCAACCTGCAGCTCTGGGGCCAAACGCAGCTCTTTTGTCTGTGGCCCTTTGAAGCTTTGACCAAAACTATACTGTATAATACTGTATTTATTTAAACCTACAACAAAAAAAAATGTGAGTTTTATCTGTTTTTTGTGTAAATTTTCGGTAAATTTGTTTAAAATGCAACAAATACAAGGAGCGAAACGTGTTGATTACATTTAGCTTCTTGGTTTATCCAACCTCCAGGCTTACGTTCTCTGAAAAAAAAAAAAAAAAAAATCAACTTGTTCAGAAAAATGCCTAATTTTTATGTATACTTTAAATTTATGTTTATTACTTCAGAGTGGTATACTAAATTTTAAGTCAGAAAAAAAAACTCATAAGCCTGCGAGACTATTTTTTTTCCCAACTTTTGGTTTTTTCTTTTACCCTAAAATGTAAAAATATCAATAAATTTAAAAATTATTTGTACATTTACGTCACCTCAACTGGCCAGAAAAGCCATCCTCCCACCGTCCACCAGTTGATGTTTTGCGGCTCCACACATTTTATTTAGTGAGTGAATTGGCAGAAACGGCTCTTTTGATCAAAAAAGGTTACAAACCCCTGACGCCTTTTACCATTTGGACATAAGATGTTTTAATAATTTTATTTTAAAGGTTGTGCAAAATTAAAAAAAAAAAATTTTTTTTAAATCACTAATTTCAGTGAGCTTATTGGTGATGTTTCAGATGGTACAAATATTGCACAATTATTGATGACTGTTGTGTTTATAAAAAATAAAAATAATAATCTTGAAGGCACTTATTAAACACACACACACCAAAAAAAGGTAAACATTAGGCGATTTAACCCTATATTCACTTCAGATCTGCCCCAAAGACCAAAGCACGTCATCTTTTTTCTCAAGTTTTAAAATGATTAAAGCCTGGACGTGTGCAGAACAGCCAACGTTCAGTTAGTTCAAAGACTCTCAAGTGGCTTTTAAAAACAGAAGGAAACCTGTTCCCTTGTCACCCCGCCCATCGCTACCAGTCAAGTTCAGATCGCACTTCCAGCTTGAGGAAAACTGGTTGGGAATACCCACCAGTTTATCCCGTCAGGTGGCTGACCAGTCCAGAGTGCATGGCTTGTTTCAGGACATCCGGCCTGTGAAGCGGCGGCATGTAGAGCATGGGAGGAGGCGCTCCTGTGTAGCTGGAGGATGGGTAGCCTTGACTGGGAACAGGGGAGGCCGCCATGTTTAGCGGTGAAGGGCTCTGCTCGTAATACTGACCGTCACACTCCTCGTCCATCGGCAGAGCCAAGCGCTTCCCCTTCTGCCTCCGATTGCAGAACCAAACGCGCACCACCTGCCAAGAACACAGTTATAGCTTCTCAAAATAAAACTCCATAAACAAAAGGAAAAGCTTTTAAACATGTCTGCCCTTACATCTCTTTCCAAGCCCAACTCATTCGCAATTTGTATGATTTTCTGAGTGTTCGGTTTGGGACAGTTGATGAAGAAGGACTCCAGGGCGGCGCGCACCGCTCCCTCCAGGCTGGTCCTCCTTTTCCTTTTTCTGGTGTCGACAAATACTCGCTCTACCTTGTACATCTGCCGGGGTCATAAGCACAAACATGTTACTGAAGGATTTGGATCACACAGCTGGATCTGTCCACCAGGTGGTGCATTAGAAGAGCAGATGGCCTTGATTTGTTTGCTCAGCAGGAAGTTTTGACTACTGTAGGCCTGAAAAGACTAGTTCTATCCAGTGGGGAGAGCCTGTTGTCTTGTAAACTAGTTGGCAGATGTTTGGAACCAGTGTTGCCAGATTGGGTGGTTTTTAGTCTGATTTTGCGTGTAAAAATTGCTTTGGGCTGGTGGGGATAATTTGGGTGGATTTGGAGTCATATCGGCGGTTTTTGACCTATTAAAAAACACATTTATAACAATCATTCATCATTATTGATTCATAGCAAAGCTCCTCTGACCTTTCTCCATCACTGCTGCAGTGGTACATCGGAGCGTCCACCATATTGGATGTGGCAGATCTGCTGGTCAACTAATACAAGGAAATAGACTGAACTTCATAAAGCACCGTTCTACAAAGTGTTTTAAGTTAATACCCGTCATTCACATGCACTAATCTGGAAAACAAACAGGCACCAAAGACAACATTTATAACTTTACGTAAAAATGCTTACTCCTTAAATATTTAGGTTATAGGGAAACACTAAGCCAACATATATATTAGAGTGTTTACAAGTACAGGTGTGTAACACTATTACTGTGGTGATAAAGAAATATTCATATTTAACATTTAATCTGTGTCTATAATCAGATTCTGAAATGTAGATGTGACGTGGATTTTCTGAATAAAGAGCAATAACGTTCACATTTAACTGATATAATACAAACTATTACCTTGGCTTGTACTGATGTGTGTTCATGTTCAGACAGTAAATATAACAATATATTGATTGGGCGGGTTTTTGTGTGATGTGTTGGTTTCTAACAGAGTTCCGGGCTGGAAAGCCTCGACTCTATCTGGCAACACTGTTTGGAACTGTACTCACATCTTGAGGATTTTCTGAGGTCTCTGCCTCCACCAGCCATCTCTGAAGAAGGGGCTTCAGCTTGCACATGTTCTTAAAGCTTAGCTGCAGAGCTTCAAAACGGCAAATGGTGGTCTGGCTGAACATCTTACCTACAAGAACAATATTCATGATGTTTATGAAACTAAACATTTAAGATCAAGACAAATACAGACCTTCACAAAAGTCTTAACAGTCTTGATTCTAATAATGTAAAGAAAACCAGTATAATCATGGGAACCTACCATACAGTTTACCCAGTGCAAGGCCAACATCTGCCTGAGTGAAACCCAGAGTTATCCGTTTGTGTTTCAGCTCCTTGGCAAACTGCTCCAGTTCTTCAGTGGAAAGGTTCTCCTAAAAATAATAAAAAAGAAACGCTTCTATTTAGAAATATTTTGTTCTGGAACTCTACAAGAAATGTGAAGTTTAGCTACTCCAGAATAACCCATTTAGTTTAAATAGTCATCTAGGATGTCATTTGGGGCAGATTACCTCCTCAGAGTCGCTGCAGCCCCCGCTGGAGGAGCCGCTGCTCCGCGTGTTGGAGGCCGGGTTCTGAGCCTGCGGCTCGGCCGCAGCCTGCGCGGAGTTCACGCTGAAAAACGCGTTCCGCGGAGCCCCGTTGATGGGGGGAGAAGGGGACATAGATGGTGGCGATGCGGACAGTCCCGTTGGGTTTTGAGTACTTGTACCAGGCAGATTGATGTGGGGGATCCCGGGCCAGAAGGACGGGTTCCAGGCCGCAGAGCAGAAGACGCCATGGTGGTGGTGGTGGCGGTGGGTGCCCGTGGAAGCCGGCGGTATCGGGTACTGTTGGACCTTCATCTCGGTTGAATACTCCTCTCCGGTGTCCATCTCGGTCTTGATCTCGGGCAGCTTTATTTGCTCCCGGGTCTCAGCTATGGGGGGGCTCAGATTTGTGGGCTGAGTGGCTGCGGTCACGCCGGGTACATGGCCGGTGTACTCGTGCGCAGCGAAGGGATACCAATGTTTCCGTTGTCCGAAGTCTCCAGTCTGCATGTCAGAGTCCCTGTAGTTCCCGGTGGCGGGTGGGAACTGCATAAAGGCCTGCGCGGATGCGGCCGTGATGCCTCCATAAGCAGGTTTGCTGTAAAGCAGGCTGGGGTCCGGCAAAACGCCATGAGGAAACTGGAACGATGATGAAGGGTTGCCCAAACCTTCATGACCACAAACCTGACTGTATGCGTTGTGTCGGCTGTAGTCATAGGGTCTGGTCTGGCACTCAGGACTTTGGGGCCTATCCGACATATTTCCAAGAACGTGAAAAATACCTTAGAAAGTTAAAAATTACTGGCTTCCCTCATCCCAAACTAAAGCTGGATGTGACGCACCTGATTAGGAGAAAAAGTGGTGCGTAAAATGATCTGTGCCAAAAAGTAGGCCTCGGTTTCGGTTGTGGCGCAAGATGAAGACCCTCTCCATGAAACCCGTGTTCACAAACACCTTCAAGCTCAACTGCTCATCCCGAGTCCAGACTCCGCAGGTTTCCCCAATCACAGCTGCGGCTGCGCGCTCATTGGTCGGCGCAGACAATTACGCACAGCTGATGGTCAGTTTGTGAATGACCTTGATTCTAAGGGGGCGTGGGTTTATTTTGGTTTTAACACAAACTTTCAGGTTATTTTAGGAATCTGGAACGCAAATTTTAAGACTGAAAACATTATTAATTCACTTAGAAAAGAAAGAAAAAGAAACATATTTACATTGCTAATAGGCACGGGTCTCTATATTTGCGCATACATATTATAACACTATCATTCATGAATAGTAATGCTGGATTTGTTGAAATGATTCCTTCTAAACGAAGACAAAGTCTCTGAAATTAAAATCTCTGTTGGTGATAGATCCAGTTTAGTTTAATCTGAATCCATCCATTAAAAAGAGAACACTGCGGGTCAAATCTGGAGATTGAACATGTGAAAGTGATTTATTAATCTCAGAATAAAGAAAAATGAGAAGACAAGAAGAATTAAAAATGTAAATTTATATATATATATATATATATAATTTGTCAATTTGTTCTGAGGTTGTCTTTTTATTTTTCATGCATGTAATTTTTTTTATTAGTGATGGGGAAAAAATTGCATTTGTTATTTTATTTTTTTGCACATTAAGTCTCGTTAGGTTTACATTTCCTGTCCATGTTTTCTTTAAAAAAAAATAAAAATAAAAGCAGCCTCAGTTGAGTTTCTGCGGGTTCCTGCTTGTCTAAACTGGGTTTGTTGCATTAGCAATGGAAGAATGTGGTATTCAGGTGATCGTCTCCCTGTTCTGTGAGTTCGAGCGCAGATGTACCCCCCCACCCAGCGCGAATCCATGGCCGCAGATCACTGCAGGAAGACGCACTGCGGGAAGGAATGGGGGGGTGCCATTGTAGGAGGTGGCCCCGCGGGGCACCCCGTGGATTTCAGAGGCCGAGTTGCGATGGTCGACCATTAGCTCCTTTTCACATCAGAACAATAAGTCTCAACCCTTTGATTCCACCCCACACCGATCGAGCCCCCCTCCCCCCCACCACCTGAAATAAACACCACCATACGGGAGTTTCACTCTGCTTCCTACCTTGGCATTCAGGCTCACATGGCCTAAAGGTCCCCCAAGAAACTGGTCTGAGAAGCAAGGTGTCTGCAGGTGAGGAAACAAGAACTCCAAAACTCTCTGGAATGTCCTCTGATGGGGGCACAAATTCCCAGTTTGCCTTGTGGTCAGCTAAGAAGGGAATCTTGACGCGATGATCAGTTTCCAAGAAGTTAAAGAATGTGAAAAACCCAATGAGATACTTAAAAATAATTTGGTGTAGATATGACAACCCTATATGGGTAAGTAGACAACTGAACTTCTCCAGAAGAGAACAACCATAAAACAAATCATGATCTGATTTTTTTCCTGTTCCTTTGCAGAAGATGGGGGGGGGGGGGGGGCAATCATTGGCTTAAAAGACATCAAGCTCCATCTATCACTGTTTTGGGCAATGGACTTGGAAGGATGATTGTCATGCAAAAGGATAAACACCAAGAGAAGCTCCAGGGAGAAAGCTCTGAGGGAGTCCAAAAGAAAGGGGGAAGGGGGGGTTGGTGTTGAATAGTTGGGTACAGTGAGGAGGAGATGTGTGAGGCCAGGAGGATTCAGTTGCAAACCCCCACAGATGTCTCAGATCTTTTCTTCCTCCCCCCCTTTATTTCTTTACTTGTTCTTCTTGTTTGTGGGAGTGAGCCAAGCTCAGAGAAGTGGAGAAAGTAAAAAGGAAGTTTTGGTGGTAAAACTAAAAAGAAAAGATGCGTTGCACCATTAAGACTTTGGGTTATTTCACTTGCGTTCTTGCGGAAAAATAAAAATGTCCCTCTGGCAATTTTCCAAGACTTTTGGACAGAAGCGCCACCTGAAATTTCGCTGTATCGTTACAAATCGTCCACTTTTACATTTACTAATGGGTCAGTTTCATGTCGTTAAAGAGCAAAGATACAAAGACGCTCTTAAACGTAAGAAATGTTACAAAAGCTTAGTTTAAATGCAACAAAAAGGTGATTTTTTTTCCTCTCCTTGCTGCTTTTTTTCAGACAATAAAACACCCCAAGGCCACCATGACAAACATGTTAGTCACTACTTCCTGTTAGCCAAAGATCTGATAAAATACCAACACTGCATTCTTAATTCTGTCCCTCCTGTTGAGCAGCACAGTCATCCCCCACAAACAAGTCTGATGGCTTTTTGATTTTCTTCCCCTGAAGATCCTTGCCTTTGACACCCACCTTCACAAGGACCCCCCCACCACCACTGCTGCCCACTTGGGTTTTCATCCGAGGGCCAGAGGCTGCACAAAGGCTTTTTTAAATGGCCCTTGGCATGTGGCTCAATGGGGACATTGACCAGTCCCTTCCCCAACACAAATAACCTTACAAGAACACACAAGCTTTTTGCTGGGTGTTGTCATTCGTGCTGCGACAACTGAACGAGATCTAACAAGTATCACCAAAAACCACATCAGAGATGGAAAAACATTTGTTGACTGGTGGTTTGCTCGTTTCAGCGAAGCCTAACAAAAACTGACGGGACCTCAAAATACCAACGCGAACGAATAAATCTGGAAATCCGTGAAATGTCCATATTTGATCAGATCGTCAAGGAAAAATACTTTGCCGTTCTAGATTAAATCTTCCAGCAGATGTGGCTCATGTATTTAATATAAAGTTGTTTGTGCCTTTCAAACGTAAATATTAAAGTTCTGTGGGTTTGAAAAATGTTTGGTTCCCAATATTTTTATTGAGTTTTATGACCGTCGCAGTATGAAAATACATTTCAAGGCAAACGTTTAAAATTTCACAAAACTTTCTTTGCATCACTTTTCCATTTAGTTTTTGTAATGAAGCGAAACGAACTATATTTGGCTTTTGGATGTTTACGTTTCATAAATTAAAAGAATGAACCCTGAAGTGTACATTTTGCCATAATTAAGGACGTAAGTCCACGTTTAAAGAGAACGTTTACAGTTCGTTTAGCTCTGTCTCGGGAAGATTTTCAGTCAAGATAAGTCCAAAAAAAGGGTAAAACAACAACTGGACTTCTATATTGAAGCTGAACATTTTGTTTCCAGGAGGGTTTATCAATTCATGAATTATTTAGCTTTATTTTTAATTGATAAAGACAAAATGTCTTCAGCTTCAGAATAAATCCCTTTTTTGTGTTTAGCTTTGTTGCACTCAAGAACAGGGGTTCTCAAATTTTGTGGGTTCAGGGACCCCTGACAGGGGAGAAAAAGTTTCAGGGACCCCCTCATGTTTATTAAATAGTTTTCTTCATTTAGTCTCTCAATGCAATGAAAATATTTGTGTAACATAAATACTCAAGACCTGCTCTTTAATAGAGTTAATACATTTTTTTATACTTTTAAACATGGGGTATTTTTCATTCAAGAAACACTGAATTAACACAAAATATTAATTTCAACTTCCAAAAATTACAGTTTTGAGAAAATTAACAGCCTCAAAAACCACTTTAAAACTTCACCTATTCACATAATGAACATAATAAATGTATCAACACTTCTTCAAATTATTACAGGAAACTCTTTACATAAAACTGAACAGAATCATAACAGCAGTGGCTTCATCTGTAAACTGATCAATGCCGGGACGCAAATAGTGAATAGTATGATGCAAACGCAAATATTTAACAGGTTGTTAAACATTTACCGGTTTGTAAAAAAAAACAAAAAATTCTTTTTTTTTGCGGGGGACCCCCCAAGCACCAGCCTGCGAACCCCCAGGGGTCCGGGGACCCCAGCTAGAGAACCACTGCTCTAGTAAATCTGGTTTTGACGTTGTTTAACAGTTAAAATAAAGGCTCAAACATCACAACATACACTGGAAAAAGTTTTGCACAGAGTTGTTCATTCAAGCTAAAAACTATTATTGAATACAATGTACAATAATTGACTTGGTTGTGAAAGTCTATTTTTTTGCATTCTGAGGTTTCAATTTTGATTCAGACTGAATCAATAACACTTTTGATGGGAAGAAAGCAAATATTTTGGTTCCTCTCAAAACATGCTGAAAGGAAATGATGTCATATTTTCAATCTGAGTCACGTGAGAAGACGTTGGGGAGAAGTGCTTGGGTAGAAATAGAAGAGAAGAGGATATTATATCTAGACTAAGATTTGGGCATACGGGGCTGAATAGTACGCTGAAAATAATTAATAAACATAGTACAGGTTTGTGTAATTTTTGTGGAGAGTCAGAAACGGTGCAGCATATTCTTCTAGAATGTAGTAAATACAGCCGGGAAAGAGAGTTGTTAATTAGAGAGATGAACAGTAATAAAATCAATTTAGATGTTAAAAATTTGCTGCAAAGATCTTCTGAAAATATAATTTTTAACAGCATTTTTAGGTTTCTCAAGATGTCAGGCATTATGGGGAGAATATAGTGATAGGACATCTAATCTATACTCCAGTCTGGAAGGTGGCGGTAATGCACCTATAAGTTGTTTGCCAACCGCCATTAAACATAAAAGAAGAAGAAGAAGAAGAAGAAGTGCTTGGAGAGCTTCGTCCGTTGCACAATGTGTCTGCAATGTGTCACCTATGTGTCAAACAATGTGTCACCTATGCCATTATACAGTATATAGTGATTAATGAGGTGTGCCATACTGCAGTTGTTCAGTTGCATATTTCGTATATTTTGCCTCAGGTCTCCCAGAAAGATCAAGCCGAGCAGGAGCTGGAGAGGACCATCATGGCAGTCTTCGTCTTCAGAGAGAATTCAAGCCTTCTACAGCAGCCCCAAGACGTTGGGATTGTCATTGATGGTGTGGAAGTCCTCAATGAGTTGCCTTCTCTTGCAGCTGGAGTGGCAATGCTCTTTGGACTTTGCTATGCTCTTAACATGGAGTATCCACAGGGTTTCAGGTTCACCTTTGAGGCCCTTCAGAAGATCCTGATGGAGCTTGGTTCCAACAAGATGACTTCCAAGATTCGCAAACTCAGTGGTGAACTCAAAACTGCACAGTAGTGTATATTTAAGTGTGTGCTTAATGTGTGTGCATGTAGTTGCCACTGGCATCTATTTAAGAGGTAGACCACCTCACAGCACTTTGTTATACATGTTCAGGTGGTCACTTTCATGGAGTGCTTTTGTTGGAATTTTAGTTCTTTCATGATGTTTAGAGATGCAACATTCCTTCAAGTTCAGATGTGTTTGAACAGTACAACAATAGTGAATGCTTTCTGTCCATTTAATTTTGCTTGATAAGCCATATTGTCTTTATGTCATTGCTCTGATCAACAATGACATGTTTATATTTGTTTGTCTGAACATGCAACTTTTTTTGTCCTTTTTTACTTGAGGAATAAATGGCTTATAAGAAAAATGTTGCTGGAGTGTGTTAAGTGTGATGTGAGTGATGCAGATTGTTTGACACCAAGTTTATGACATTTTAAAAAAGAAGACTTTCATGGTGCCAATGAATTAATTTATGCTAGGTATATATATTAGATGGGTTCAATTTAAATATATTAGTTTGGTTCATAAACTAAAATGTAAATTATTTAACTTGGATAAAGGTGAAGAATTAAT